TCCCTGTGTCCATCTGTCCATCCATGGATCCCTGTGTCCCTCTGTCCATCCATCCCTGTGTCCCTCTGTCCATCCATCCCTGGTTCCTGTGTCCATCTGTCCATCCCTGTGTCCCTCTGTCCGTCCATGGATCCGTGGTCCCATCCCCCACCCACGGGTCCCTCCCCGTCCCTGTCCCAGCCCTGCAGCACCGGGGTCACATCCCAAGGAAATCCGGGAATTCCGACCTCCCCCTCCCCCTCCCCCTTCCCCTGCTCTGGTTCCCCCCCAGGATAAAAAATAAAAATAAAAATAAAAAAACCCCAAATTTTATTCCCAATTTTACTCCCTCCCAAATTCCCAACCCCGAATTCCCAGCAGGACAACGAGGGCTGAGTTTGTTTGGGATCAAATCCAGGCTCTGATCCCACAAATTCCTGATTCCCCCAAATTCCTGATTCCCCCAAATTCCTGATCCCCCAAATTCCTGATTTCCCACAAATTCCTGATCCCCCAAATTCCTGATTCCCACAAATTCCTGATTTCCCACAAATTCCTGATTCCCCAAATTCCTGATTCCCACAAATTCCTGATCCCCCAAATTCCTGACCCCACAAATTCCTGACCCCACAAATTCCTGATTCCCACAAATTCCTGACCCCACAAATTCCTGACTCCCACAAATTCCTGATCCCCAAATTCCTGATTCCCCAAATTCCTGACCCCACAAATTCCTGATTCCCACAAATTCCTGATCCCCCAAATTCCTGATTCCCACAAATTCCTGATTCCCCAAATTCCTGACCCCACAAATTCCTGATTCCCACAAATTCCTGATCCCCAAATTCCTGACCCCACAAATTCCTGACCCCACAAATTCCTGATCCCCCAAATTCCTGACCCCACAAATTCCTGACCCCACAAATTCCTGATCCCACAAATTCCTGATCCCACAAATTCCTGACCCCACAAATTCCTGACCCCACAAATTCCTGATCCCACAAATTCCTGATTCCCCCAAATTCCTGATCCCCCAAATTCCTGATTCCCCAAATTCCCGATCCCCAAATTCCTGACCCCACAAATTCCTGACCCCACAAATTCCTGATTCCAGAGGATCCCGTGGCTCAGCATGGGGCAGGCAAAGTT